GGTCGCATTGGTTTCATTTTTGGTTTGCTTGTAGGGCGCTGGCACCCGCATTCAGTGACCCAGAAAATTTGGCACTGCTGTGAATAGTTTAGTCGCAAAGTGAAGATTCACGTGTAAAAAGCCCCAAACTTCTAGATAGGTTCTTTTTCAGCTTTCAGCAGCCCTGGGTGAGTTCTTTAGAGAAATGTGGCTCTTTTTCATGGTGCTATTTTCTATGTCCAGCTACACAAACGAGATGAGGATGGCATTGTCATTTTCTGAGCTGCGAACGGGCAGAAAGGTGAGAAAATGTCGGATTTTGACCATTTGTGCTGACCTTTCAATTTCAACGTACCTCTGTATAACATGACCCAGCTGTAATTTCAGTGGTCGCATTGGTTTCATTTTTGGTTTGTTTGTAGGGAACTGGCACCCGCATTCAGAGACCCAGAAAATTTGGCACTGCTGTGAATAGTTTAGTCGCAAAGTGAATATTCACGGGTAAAAAGCCCCAAATTTCTAGATAAGTTCTTTTTCAGCTTTCAGCAGCCCTGGGTGAGTTCTTTAGAGAAATGTGGATCTTTTTCTTGGTGCTCTTGTCTATGTCCAGCTACACAACGAGATGAGGATGGTCATTGTCATTTTCTGAGCTGTGAACGGGCAGAAAGGTGAGAAAATGTCGGATTTTGACCATTTGTGCTGACCTTTCAATTTCAACGTACCTCTCTATAACATGACCCAGCTGTAATGTCAGTGGTCGCATTGGTTTGATTTTTGGTTTGCTTGTAAGGCGCTGGCACCCACAATCAGTGACCCTAAAAAATTGGCACTGCTGTGAATAGTTTAGTCGCAAAGTGAAGATTCACGGGTAAAAAGCCCCAACCTTCTAGATAGGTTCTTTTTCAGCTTTCAGCAACCCTGGGCGAATTCTTTAGAGAAATGTGGGTCTTTTTCTTGGTGCTCTTGTCTATGTCCAGCTACACAACGAGATGAGGATGGTCATTGCCATTTTCTGAGCTGCGAACGGGCAAAAACGTGAGAAAATGTCGGATTTTGACCATTTGTGCTGACCTTTCAATTTCAACGTACCTCTCTATAAAATGACCCAGCTGTAATTTCAGAGGTCACATTGGTTTCATTTTTGGTTTGCTTGTAGGGCGCTGGCACCCGCATTCAGTGATCGAGAAAATTTGGCACTGCTGTGAATAGTTTAGTCGCAAAGTGAAGATTCACGGGTAAAAAGCCCCAAACTTCTAGATAGGTTCTTTTTCAGCTTTCAGCAGCCCTGGGCGAGTTCTTTAGAGAAATGTGGGTCTTTTTTTTGGTGCTCTTGTCTATGTCCAGCTACACAACGAGATGAGGATGGTCATTGTCATTTTCTGAGCTGCGAACGGGCAGAAAGGTGAGAAAATGTCGGATTTTGACCATTTGTACTGACCTTTCAATTTCAACGTACCTCTCTATAACATGACCCAGCTGTAATTTCAGTGGTCGCATTGGTTTCAATTTTGGGTTGCTTGTAGGGCGCTGGCATCCGAATTCAGTGTCCCAGAAAATTTGGCACTGCTGTGAATAGTTTAGTCGCTAAGTGAAGATTCATGGGTAAAAAGCCCCAAACTTCTAGATAGGTTCTTTTTCAGCTTTCAGCAGCCCTGGGCGAGTTCTTTAGAGAAATGTGGGTCTTTTTCTTGGTGCTCTTGTCTATTTCCAGCTACACAACGAGATGAGGATAGTCATTGTCATTTTCTTAGCTGCGAACGGGCAGAAAGGTGAGAAAATGTCGGATTTTGACCATTTGTGCTGACCTTTCAATTTCAACGTACCTCTCTATAACATGACCCAGCTGTAATTTCAGTGGTCGCATTGGTTTCATTTTTGGTTTGCTTGTAGGGCGCTGGCACCCGCATTCAGTGACCCAGAAAATTTGGCACTGCTGTGAATAGTTTAGTCGCAAAGTGAAGATTCACGGGTAAAAAGCCCCAAACTTCTAGATAGGTTCTTTTTCAGCTTTCAGCAGCCCTGGGTGAGTTCTTTAGAGAAATGTGGGTCTTTTTCTTTGTGCTCTTGTCTATGTCCAGCTACACAACGAGATGAGGATGGTCATTGTCATTTTCTGAGCTACGAACGGGCAGAAAGGTGAGAAAATGTCGGATTTTTACCATTTGTACTGACCTTTCAATTTCAACGTACCTCTCTATAACATGACCCAGCTGTAATGTAAGTGGTCGCATTGGTTTGATTTTTGGTTTGCTTGTAGGGCGCTGGCACCCGCATTCAGTGACCCAGAAAATTTGGCACTGCTGTGAATAGTTTAGTCGCAAAGTGAAGATTCACGGGTAAAAAGCCCCAAACTTCGAGATAGGTTCTTTTTCAGCTTTCAGCAGCCCTGGGCGAGTTCTTTTGAGAAATGTGGGTCTTTTTCTTGGTGCTCTTGTCTATTTCTAGCTACACAACGAGATGAGGATGGTCATTGTCATTTTCTGAGCTGCGAACGGGCAGAAAAGTGAGAAAATGTCGGATTTTGACCATTTGTGCTGACCTTTCAATTTCAACGTACCTCTCTGTAACATGACCCAGCTGTAATTTCAGTGGTCGCATTGGTTTCATTTTTGGTTTGCTTGTAGGGCGCTGGCACCCGCTTTCAGTGACCCAGAAAATTTGGCACTGCTGTGAATAGTTTAGTCGCAAAGTGAAGATTCACGGGTAAAAAGCCCCAAACTTCTAGATAGGTTCTTTTTAAGGTTTCAGCAGCCCTGGGTGAGTTCTTCAGAGAAATGTGGCTCTTTTTCATGGTGCTATTTTCTATGTCCAGCGACACAACGAGATGAGGATGGTCATTGTCATTTTCTGAGCTGCGAACGGGCAGAAAGGTGAGAAAATGTCGGATTTTGACCATTTGTGCTGACCTTTCAATTTCAACGTACCTCTCTATAACATGACCCAGCTGTAATTTCAGTGGTCGCATTGGTTTCATTTTTGGTTTGCTTGTAGGGCGCTGGCACCTGCATTCAGTGACCTAGTAAATTTGGCACTGCTGTGAATAGTTTAGTCGCAAAGTGAAGATTCACGGGTAAAAAGCCCCAAACTTCTAGATAGGTTCTTTTTCAGCTTTCAGCAGCCCTGGGCGAGTTCTTTAGAGAAATGTGGGTCTTTTTCTTGGTGCTCTTGTCTATGTCCAGCTACACAACGAGATGAGGATGATCATTGTCATTTTCTGAGCTACGAACGGGCAGAAAGGTGAGAAAATGTCGGATTTTGACCATTTGTACTGACCATTCAATTTCAACGTACCTCTCTATAACATGACCCAGCTGTAATTTCAGTGGTCGCATTGGTTTCATTTTTGGTTTGCTTGTAGGGCGCTGGCACCCGCATTCAGTGACCCAGAAAATTTGGCACTGCTGTGAACAGTTTAGTCGCAAAGTGAAGATTCACGGGTAAAAAGCCCCAAACTTCTAGATAGGTTCTTTTTCAGCTTTCAGCAGCCCTGGGTGAGTTCTTTAGAGAAATGTGGCTCTTTTTCATGGTGCTATTTTCCATGTCCAGCTACACAAACGAGATGAGGATGGCATTGTCATTTTCTGAGCTTCGAACGGGCAGAAAGGTGAGAAAATGTCGGATTTTGACCGTTTGTGCTGACCTTTCAATTTCAACGTACCTCTGTATAACATGACCCAGCTGTAATTTCAGTGGTCGCATTGGTTTCATTTTTGGTTTGTTTGTAGGGCGCTGGCACCCGCATTCAGTGACCCAGAAAATTTGGCACTGCTGTGAATAGTTTAGTCGCAAAGTGAAGATTCACGGGTAAAAAGCCCCAAATTTCTAGATAAGTACTTTTTCAGCTTTCAGCAGCCCTGGGCGAGTTCTTTAGAGAAATGTGGGTCTTTTTCTTGGTGCTCTTTTCTATGTCCAGCTACACAACGAGATGAGGATGGTCATTGTCATTTTCTGAGCTACGAACGGGCAGAAAGGTGAGAAAATGTCGGATTTTGACCATTTGTACTGACCTTTCAATTTCAACGTACCTCTCTATAACATGACCCAGCTGTAATTTCAGTGGTCGCATTGGTTTCATTTTTGGTTTGCTTGTAGGGCGCTGGCACCCGCATTCAGTGATCCAGAAAATTTGGCACTGCTGTGAATAGTTTAGTCGCAAAGTGAAGATTCACGGGTAAAAAGCCCCAAACTTCTAGATAGGTTCTTTTTCAGCTTTCAGCAGCCCTGGGCGAGTTCTTTAGAGAAATGTGGGTCTTTTTCTTGGTGCTCTTGTCTATGTCCAGCTACACAACGAGATGAGGATGGTCATTGTCATTTTCTGAGCTACGAACGGGCAGAAAGGTGAGAAAATGTCGGATTTTGACCATTTGTACTGACCTTTCAATTTCAACGTACCTCTCTATAACATGACCCAGCTGTAATTTCAGTGGTCGCATTGGTTTCATTTTTGGTTTGCTTGTAGGGCGCTGGCACCCGCATTCAGTGACCCGGAAAATTTGGCACTGCTGTGAACAGTTTAGTCGCAAAGTGAAGATTCACGGGTAAAAAGCCCCAAACTTCTAGATAGGTTCTTTTTCAGCTTTCAGCAGCCCTGGGTGAGTTCTTTAGAGAAATGTGGCTCTTTTTCATGGTGCTATTTTCCATGTCCAGCAACACAAACGAGATGAGGATGGCATTGTCATTTTCTGAGCTGCGAACGGGCGGAAAGGTGAGAAAATGTCGGATTTTGACCATTTGTGCTGACCTTTCAATTTCAACGTACCTCTGTATAACATGACCCAGCTGTAATTTCAGTGGTCGCATTGGTTTCATTTTTTGTTTGTTTGTAGGGCGCTGGCACCCGCATTCAGTGACCCAGAAAATTTGGCACTGCTGTGAATAGTTTAGTCGCAAAGTGAAGATTCACGGGTAAAAAGCCCCAAATTTCTAGATAAGTTCTTTTTCCGCTTTCAGCAGCCCTGGGCGAGTTCTTTAGAGAAATGTGGGTCTTTTTCTTGGTGCTCTTGTCTATGTCCAGCTACACAACGAGATGAGGATGGTCATTGTCATTTTCTGAGCTGCGAACGGGCAGAAAGGTGTAAAAATGTCGGATTTTGACCATTTGTGCTGACCTTTCAATTTCAACGTACCTCTCTATAACATGACCCAGCTGTAATGTCAGTGTTCGCATTGGTTTGATTTTTGGTTTGCTTGTAGGGCGCTGGCACCCACAATCAGTGACCCTAAAAATTTGGCGCTGCTGTGAATAGTTTAGTCGCAAAGTGAAGATTCACGGGTAAAAAGCCCCAAACTTCTAGATAGGTTCTTTTTCAGCTTTCAGCAACCCTGGGCGAGTTCTTTAGAGAAATGTGGGTCTTTTTCTTGGTGCTCTTGTCTATGTCCAGCTACACAACGAGAAGAGGATGGTCATTGTCATTTTCTGAGCTGCGAACGGCCAGAAAGGTGAGAAAATGTCGGATATTTACCATTTGTACTGACCTTTCAATTTCAACGTACCTCTGTATAACATGACCCAGCTGTAATTTCAGTGGTCGCATTGGTTTCATTTTTGGTTTGCTTGTAGGGCGCTGGCACCCGCCTTCAGTGACCCAGAAAATTTGGCACTGCTGTGAATAGTTTAGTCGCAAAGTGAAGATTCACGGGTAAAAAGCCCCAAACTTCTAGATAGGTTCTTTTTCAGCTTTCAGCAGCCCTGGGTGAGTTCTTTAGAGAAATGTGGGTCTTTTTCTTGGTGCTCTTGTCTATTTCCAGCTACACAACGAGATGAGGATGGTCATTGTCATTTTCTGAGCTGCGAACGGGCAGAAAAGTGAGAAAATGTCGGATTTTCACCATTTGTGCTGACCTTTCAATTTCAACGTACCTCTCTATAACATAACCAAGCTGTAATTTCAGTGGTCGCATTGGTTTGATTTTTGGTTTGCTTGTAGGCCGCTGGCACCCGCATTCAGTCACCCAAAAAATTTGGCACTGCTGTGAATAGTTTAGTCGCAAAGTGAAGATTCACGGGTAAAAAGCCCCAAACTTCTAGATAGGTTCTTTTTCAGCTTTCAGCAGCCCTGGGTGAGTTCTTCAGAGAAATGTGGCTCTTTTTCATGGTACTATTTTCTATGTCCAGCGACACAACGAGATGATGAGGGTCATTGTCATTTTCTGAGCTACGAACGGGCAGAAAGACGAGAAAATGTCGGATTTTGACCATTTGTACTGACCTTTCAATTTCAACGTACCTCTCTATAACATGACCCAGCTGTAATTTCAGTGGTCGCATTGGTTTCATTTTTGGTTTGCTTGTAGGGCGCTGGCTCCCGCATTCAGTGATCCAGAAAGTTTGGCACTGCTGTGAACAGTTTAGTCGCAAAGTGAAGATTCACGGGTAAAAAGCCCCAAACTTCTAGATAGGTTCTTTTTCAGCTTTCAGCAGCCCTGGGTGAGTTCTTTAGAGAAATGTGGCTCTTTTTCATGGTGCTATTTTCCATGTCCAGCTACACAAACGAGATGAGGATGGCATTGTCATTTTCTGAGCTGCGAACGGGCAGAAAGGTGAGAAAATGTCGGATTTTGACCATTTGTGCTGACCTTTCAATTTCAACGTATCTCTCTATAACATGACCCAGCTGTAATTTCAGTGTTTGCATTGGTTTCATTTTTGGTTTGCTTGTAGGGCGCTGGCACCCGCATTCAGTGATCCAGAAAATTTGGCACTGCTGTGAATAGTTTAGTCGCAAAGTGAAGATTCACGGGTAAAAAGCCCCAAACTTCTAGATAGGTTCTTTTTCAGCTTTCAGCAGCCCCGGGTGAGTTCTTTAGAGAAGTGTGGCTCTTTTTCATGGTGCTATTTTCTATGTCCAGCGAGACAACGAGATGATGATGGTCATTGTCATTTTCTGAGCTGCGAACGGGCAGAAAAGTGAGAAAATGTCGGATTTTGACCATTTGTACTGACCTTTCAATTTCAACGTACCTCTCTATAACATGACCCAGCTGTAATGTCAGTGGTCGCATTGGTTTGATTTTTGGTTTGCTTTTAGGGCGCTGGCACTCGCATTCATTGACCCAGAAAATTTGGCACTGCTGTGAATAGTTTAGTCGCAAAGTGAAGAGATTCACGGGTAAAAAGCCCCAAACTTCTAGATAGGTTCTTTTTCAGCTTGCAGCAGCCCTGGGTGAGTTCTTTAGAGAAATGTGGCTCTTTTTCATGGTGCTATTTTCTATGTCCAGCTACACAACGAGATGAGGATGGTCATTGTCATTTTCTTAGCTGCGAACGGGCAGAAAGGTGAGAAAATGTCGGATTTTGACCATTTGTGCTGACCTTTCAATTTCAACGTACCTCTGTATAACATGACCCAGCTGTAATTTCAGTGGTCGCATTGGTTTCATTTTTGGTTTACTTGTAGGGCGCTGGCACCCGCATTCAGTAATCCAGAAAATTTGGCACTGCTGTGAATAGTTTAGTCGCAAAGTGAAGATTCACGGGTAAAAAGCCCCAAACTTCTAGATAGGTTCTTTTTCAGCTTTCAGCAGCCCTGGGTGAGTTCTTTAGAGAAATGTGGCTCTTTTTCATGGTGCTATTTTCTATGTCCAGCGACACAACGAGATGATGATGGTCATTGTCATTTTCTGAGCTGCGAACGGGCAGAAAGGTGAGAAAATGTCGGATTTTGACCATTTGTGCTGACCTTTCAATTTCAACGTACCTCTCTATAACATGACCCAGCTGTAATTTCAGTGGTCGCATTGGTATCATTTTTGGTTTGTTTGTAGCGCGCTGGCACCCGCATTCAGTGACCCAAGAAATTTGGCACTGCTGTGAATAGTTTAGTCGCAACGTGAAGATTCACGGGTAAAAAGCCCCAAACTTCTAGATAGGTTCTTTTTCAGCTTTCAGCAGCCCTGGGCGAGTTCTTTAGAGAAATGTGGGTCTCTTTCTTGGTGCTCTTGTCTATGTCCAGCTACACAACGAGATGAGGATGGTCAATGTCATTTTCTGAGCTGCGAACTGGCAGAAAGGTGAGAAAATGTCGGATTTTGACCATTTGTACTGACCTTTCAATTTCAACGTACCTCTCTATAACATGACCCAGCTGTAATTTCAGTGGTCGCATTGGTTTCATTTTTGGTTTGCTTGTAGGGCGCTGGCACCCGCATTCAGTGACCCAGAAAATTTGGCACTGCTGTGAATAGTTTAGTCGCAAAGTGAAGATTCACGGGTAAAAAGCCCCAAACTTCTAGATAGGTTCTTTTTCAGCTTTCAGCAGCCCTGGATGAGTTCTTTAGAGAAATGTGGCTCGTTTTCATGGTGCTTTTTTCTATGTCCAGCTACACAACGAGATGAGGATGGCATTGTCATTTTCTGAGCTGCGAACGGGCAGAAAGGTGAGAAAATGTCGGATTTTGACCATTTGTGCTGACCTTTCAATTTCAACGTACCTCTCTATAACATGACCAAGCTGTAATTTCAGTGGTCGCATTGGTTTCATTTTTGGTTTGCTTGTAGGGCGCTGGCACCCGCATTCAGTGACCCAGAAAATTTGGCACTGCTGTGAATAGTTTAGTCGCAAAGTGAATATTCACGGGTAAAAATCCCCAAACTTCTAGATAGGTTCTTTTTCAGCTTTCAGCAGCCCTGGGCGAGTTCTTTAGAGAAATGTGGGTCTCTTTCTTGGTGCTCTTGTCTATGTCCAGCGACACAACGAGATGATGATGGTCATTGTCATTTTCTGAGCTGCGAACGGGCAGAAAGGTGAGAAAATGTCGGATTTTGACCATTTGTGCTGACCTTTCAATTTCAACGTACCTCTGTATAACATGACCCAGCTGTAATTTCAGTGGTCGCATTGGTTTCATTTTTGGTTTGTTTGTAGGGCGCTGGCACCCGCATTCAGTGACCCAAAAAATTTGGCACTGCTGTGAATAGTTTAGTCGCAAAGTGAAGATTCACGGGTAAAAAGCCCCAAACTTCTAGATAGGTTGTTTTTCAGCTTTCAGCAGCCCTGGGTGAGTTCTTCAGAGAAATGTGGCTCTTTTTCATGGTACTATTTTCAGAAAATTTGGCACTGCTGTGAATAGTTTAGTCGCAAAGTGAAGATTCACGGGTAAAACCCCCCAACCTTCTAGATAGGTTCTTTTTCAGCTTTCAGCAGCCCTGGGTGAGTTCTTTAGAGAAATGTGGGTCTTTTTCTTGGTGCTCTTGTCTATGTCCAGCTACACAACGAGATGAGGATGGTCATTGTCATTTTGTGAGCTGCGAATGGGCAGAAAGGTGAGAAAATGTCGGATTTTGACCATTTGTACTGAACTTTCAATTTCAACGCACCTCTCTATAACATGACCCAGCTGTAATTTCAGTGGTCGCATTGGTTTGATTTTTGGTTTGCTTGTAGGGCGCTGGCACCCACAATCAGTGACCCTAAAAATTTGGCACTGCTGTGAATAGTTTAGTCGCAAAGTGAAGATTCACGGGTAAAAAGCCCCAAACTTCTAGATAGTTTCTTTTTCAGCTTTCAGCAACCCTGGGCGAGTTCTTTTAGAGAAATGTGGGTCTTTTTCTTGGTGCCCTTGTCTATGTCTAGCTACACAACGAGATGAGGATGGTCATTGCCATTTTCTGAGCTGCGAACGGGCAGAAAGGTGAGAAAATGACGGATTTTGACCATTTGTGCTGACCTTTCAATTTCAACGTACCTCTCTATAACATGACCCAGCTGTAATTTCAGTGGTCGCATTGGTTTCATTTTTGTTTGCTTGTAGGGCGCTGGCACCCGCATTCAGTGACCCAGAAAATTTGGCACTGCTGTGAATAGTTTAGTCGCAAAGTGAAGATTCACGGGTAAAAAGCCCCAAACTTCTAGATAGGTTCTTTTCAGCTTTCAGCAGCCCTGGACGAGTTCTTTAGAGAAATGTGGGTCTTTTTCTTGGTGCTCTTGTCTATTTCCAGCGACACAACGAGATGATGATGGTCATTGTCATTTTCTGAGCTGCGAACGGGCAGAAAGGTGAGAAAATGTCGGATTTTGACCATTTGTGCTGACCTTTCAATTTCAACGTACCTCTCTATAACATGACCCAGCTGTAATTTCAGTGGTCGCATTGGTTTCATTTTTGGTTTGTTTGTAGGGCGCTGGCACCCGCATTCAGTGACCCAGAAAATTTGGCACTGCTGTGAATAGTTTAGTCGCAACGTGAAGATTCACGGGTAAAAAGCCCCAAACTTCTAGATAGGTTCTTTTTCAGCTTTCAGCAGCCCTGGGCGAGTTCTTTAGAGAAATGTGGGTCTTTTTCTTGGTGCTCTTGTCTATGTCCAGGTACACAACGAGATGAGGATGGTCATTGTCATTTTCTGATCTTCGAACGGGCAGAAAGGTGAGAAAATGTCGGATTTTGACCATTTGTGCTGACCTTTCAATTTCAACGTACCTCTCTATAACATGACCCAGCTGTAATGTCAGTGGTCGCATTGGTTTGATTTTTGGTTTGCTTGTAGGGCGCTGGCACCCACAATCAGTGACCCTAAAAATTTGGCACTGCTGTGAATAGTTTAGTCGCAAAGTGAAGATTCACGGGTAAAAAGCCCCAAACTTCTAGATAAGTTCTTTTTCAGCTTTCAGCAGCCCTGGGCGAGTTCTTTAGAGAAATGTGAGTCTTTTTCTTCGGTGCTCTTGTCTATTTCCAGCTACACAACGAGATGAGGATGGTCATTGTCATTTTCTGAGCTGCGAACGGGCAGAAAGGTGAGAAAATGTCGGATTTTGACCATTTGTGCTGACCTTTCAATTTCAACGTACCTCTGTATAACACGACCCAGCTGTAATTTCAGTAGTCGCATTGGTTTCATTTTTGGTTTGCTTGTAGGGCGCTGGCACCTGCATTCAGTGACCCAGAAAATTTGGCACTGCTGTGAATAGGTTAGTCGCAAAGTGAAGATTCACGGGTAAAAAGCCCCAAACTTCTAGATAGGTTCTTTTTCAGCTTTCAGCAGCCCTGGGTGAGTTCTTTAGAGAAATGTGGCTCTTTTCATGGTGCTATTTTCTATGTCCAGCTACACAACGAGATGAGGATGGCATTGTCATTTTCTGAGCTGCGAACGGGCAGAAAGGTGAGAAAATATCGGATTTTGACCATTTGTGCTGACCTTTCAATCTCAAGGTACCTCTCTATAACATGACCCAGCTGTAATTTCAGTGGTTGCATTGGTTTCATTTTTGGTTTGTTTGTAGGGCGCTGGCACCCGCATTCAGTGACCCAGAAAATTTGGCAGTGCTGTGAATAGTTTAGTCGCAAAGTGAAGATTCACCGGTAAAAAGCCCCAAACTTCTAGATAAGTTCTTTTTCAGCTTTCAGCAGCCCTGGGCGAGTTCTTTATAGAAATGTGGGTCTTTTTCTTGGTACTCTTGTCTATTTCTAGCTACACAACAAGATGAGGATGGTCATTGTCATTTTCTGAGCTGCGAACGGGCAGAAAGGTGAGAAAATGTCGGATTTTGACCATTTGTGCTGACCTTTCAATTTCAACGTACCTCTCTATAACATGACCCAGCTGTAATTTCAGTGGTCGCATTGGTTTCATTTTTGGTTTGTTTGCAGGGCGCTGGCACCCGCATTCAGTGACCCAGAAAATTTGGCACTGCTGTGAATAGGTTAGTCGCAAAGTGAAGATTCACGGGTAAAAAGCCCCAAACTTCTAGATAAGTTCTTTTTCAGCTTTCAGCAGCCCTGGGCGAGTTCTTTAGAGAAATGTGGGTCTTTTTCTTGGTGCTCTTGTCTATGTCCAGCTACACAACGAGATGAGGATGGTCATTGTCATTTTCTGAGCGTCGAACGGGCAGAAAGGTGAGAAAATGTCGGATTTTGATCATTTGTGCTGACCTTTCAATTTCAACGTACCTCTCTATAACATGACCCAGCTGTAATGTCAGTGGTCGCATTGGTTTCATTTTTGGTTTGCTTGTAGGGCGCTGGCACCCACAATCAGTGACCCTCAAAATTTGGCACTGCTGTGAATAGTTTAGTCGCAAAGTGAAGATACATGGGTAAAAAGCCCCAAACTTCTATATAGGTTCTTTTTCAGCTTTCAGCAACCCTGGGCGAGTTCTTTAGAGAAATGTGGGTCTTTTTCTTGGTGCCCTTGTCTATGTCCAGCGACACAACGAGATGAGGATGGTCATTGTCATTTTCTGAGCTGCGAACGGGCAGAAAGGTGAGAAAATGTCGGATTTTGACCATTTGTGCTGACCTTTCAATTTCAACGTACCTCTCTATAACATGACCCAGCTGTAATTTCAGTGGTCGCATTGGTTTCATTTTTGGTTTGCTTGTAGGGCGCTGGCTCCCGCATTCAGTGACCTAGAAAATTTGGCACTGCTGTGAATAGTTTAGTCGCAAAGTGAAGATTCACGGGTAAAAAGCCCCAAACTTCTAGATAGGTTCTTTTTCAGGTTTCAGCAGCCCAGGGCAAGTTCTTTAGAGAAATGTGGGTCTTTTTCTTGGTGCTCTTGTCTATGTCCAGCTACACAACGAGATGAGGATGGTCATTGTCATTTTCTGAGCTACGAACGGGCAGAAAGGTGAGAAAATGTCGGATTTTGACCATTTGTACTGACCTTTCAATTTCAACGTACCTCTCTATAACATGACCGAGCTGTAATTTCAGTGGTCGCATTGGTTTCATTTTTGGTTTGCTTGTAGGGCGCTGGCACCCGCATTCAGTGACCCAGAAAATTTGGCACTGCTGTGAATAGTTTAGTCGCAAAGTGAAGATTCACGGGTAAAAAGCCCCAAACTTCTAGATAGGTTCTTTTTCAGCTTTCAGCAGCCCTGGGTGAGTTCTTTAGAGAAATGTGGCTCTTTTTCATGGTGCTATTTTCTATGTCCAGCTTCACAACGAGATGAGGATGGTCATTGTCATTTTCTGAGCTTCGAACGGGCAGAAAGGTGAGAAAATGTCGGATTTTGACCATTTGTGCTGACCTTTCAATTTCAACGTACCTCTGTATAACATGACCCAGCTGTAATTCCAGTGGTCGCATTGGTTTCATTTTTGGTTTGTTTGTAGGGCGCTGGCACCCGCCTTCAGTGACCCAGAAAATTTGGCACTGCTGTGAATAGTTTAGTCGCAAAGTGAAGATTCACGGGTAAAAAGCCCCAAACTTCTAGATAAGTTCTTTTTCAGCTTTCAGCAGCCCTGGGCGAGTTCTTTAGAGAAATGTGGGTCTTTTTCTTGGTGCTCTTGTCTATGTCCAGCTACACAACGAGATGAGGATGGTCATTGTCATTTTCTGAGCTGCGAACGGGCAGAAAGGTGAGAAAATGTCGGATTTTGACCATTTGTGCTGACCTTTCAATTTCAACGTACCTCTGTATAACATGACCCAGCTGTAATTTCAGTGGTCGCATTGGTTTCATTTTTGGTTTGTTTGCAGGGCGTTGGCACCCGCATTCAGTGACCCAGAAAATTTGGCACTGCTGTGAATAGGTTAGTCGCAAAGTGAAGATTCACGGGTAAAAAGCCCCAAACTTCTAGATAAGTTCTTTTTCAGCTTTCAGCAGCCCTGGGCGAGTTCTTTAGAGAAATGTGGGTCTTTTTCTTGGTGCTCTTGTCTATGTCCAGCTACACAACGAGATGAGGATGGTCATTGTCATTCTCTGAGCTGCGAACGGGCAGAAAGGTGAGAAAATGTCGGATTTTGACCATTTGTACTGACCTTTCAATTTCAACGTACCTCTCCATAACATGACCCAGCTGTAATGTCAGTGGTCGCATTGGTTTCATTTTTGGTTTGCTTGTAGGGCACTGGCACCCGCATTCAGTGACCCTGAAAATTTGGCACTGCTGTGAATAGTTTAGTCGCAAAGTGAAGATTCACGGGTAAAAAGCCCCAAATTTCTAGATAGGTTCTTTTTCAGCTTTCAGCAGCCCTGGGTGAGTTCTTTAGAGAAATGTGGCTCTTTTTCATGGTGCTATTTTCTATGTCCAGCTACACAACGAGATGAGGATGGTCATTGTCATTTTCTGAGCTGCGAACGGGCAGAAAGGTGAGAAAATGTCGGATTTTGACCATTTGTGCTGACCTTTCAATTTCAACGTACCTCTCTATAACATGACCCAGCTGTAATTTCAGTGGTCGCATTGGTTTGATTTTTGGTTTGCTTGTAGGGCGCTGGCACCCACAATCAGTGACCCTAAGAATTTGGCACTGCTGTGAATAGTTTAGTCGCAAAGTGAAGATTCACGGGTAAAAAGCCCCAACCTTCTAGATAGGTTCTTTTTCAGCTTTCAGCAACCCTGGGCGAGTTCTTTAGAGAAATGTGGGTCTTTTTCTTGGTGCTCTTGTCTATGTCCAGCTACACAACGAGATGAGGATGGTCATTGTCATTTTCTGAGCTGCGAACGGGCAGAAAGGTGAGAAAATGTCGGATTTTGACCATTTGTGCTGACCTTTCAATTTCTAACATGACCCAGCTGTAATTTCAGTGGTCGCATTGGTTTCATTTTTGGTTTGTTTGCAGGGCGTTGGCACCCGCATTCAGTGACCCAGAAAATTTGGCACTGCTGTGAATAGGTTAGTCGCAAAGTGAAGATTCACGGGTAAAAAGCCCCAAACTTCTAGATAAGTTCTTTTTCAGCTTTCAGCAGCCCTGGGCGAGTTCTTTAGAGAAATGTGGGTCTTTTTCTTGGTGCTCTTGTCTATGTCCAGCTACACAACGAGATGAGGATGGTCATTGTCATTTTCTGAGCTGCGAACGGGCAGAAAGGTGAGAAAATGTCGGATTTTGACCATTTGTACTGACCTTTCAATTTCAACGTACCTCTCCATAACATGACCCAGCTGTAATGTCAGTGGTCGCATTGGTTTCATTTTTGGTTTGCTTGTAGGGCACTGGCACCCGCATTCAGTGACCCCGAAAATTTGGCACTGCTGTGAATAGTTTAGTCGCAAAGTGAAGATTCACGGGTAAAAAGCCCCAAATTTCTAGATAGGTTCTTTTTCAGCTTTCAGCAGCCCTGGGTGAGTTCTTTAGAGAAATGTGGCTCTTTTTCATGGTGCTATTTTCTATGTCCAGCTACACAACGAGATGAGGATGGTCATTGTCATTTTCTGAGCTGCGAACGGGCAGAAAGGTGAGAAAATGTCGGATTTTGACCATTTGTGCTGACCTTTCAATTTCAACGTACCTCTCTATAACATGACCCAGCTGTAATTTCAGTGGTCGCATTGGTTTGATTTTTGGTTTGCTTGTAGGGCGCTGGCACCCACAATCAGTGACCCTAAGAATTTGGCACTGCTGTGAATAGTTTAGTCGCAAAGTGAAGATTCACGGGTAAAAAGCCCCAACCTTCTAGATAGGTTCTTTTTCAGCTTTCAGCAACCCTGGGCGAGTTCTTTAGAGAAATGTGGGTCTTTTTCTTGGTGCTCTTGTCTATGTCCAGCTACACAACGAGATGAGGATGGTCATTGCCATTTTCTGAGCTGCGAACGGGCAGAAAGGTGAGAAAATGTCGGATTTTGACCATTTGTGCTGACCTTTCAATTTCAACGTACCTCTCTATAACATGACCCAGCTGTAATTTCAGTGGTCGCATTGGTTTCATTTTTGGTTTGCTTGTAGGGCGCTGGCACCCGCATTCAGTGACCCAGAAAATTTGGCACTGGGGTGAATAGTTTAGTCGCAAAGTGAAGATTCACGGGTAAAAAGCCCCAAACTTCTAGATAGGTTCTTTTTCAGCTTTCAGCAGCCCTGGGCGAGTTCTTTGGAGAAATGTGGGTCTTTTTCTTGGTGCTCTTGTCTATGTCCAGCTACACAACGAGATGAGGATGGTCATTGTCATTCTCTGAGCTGCGAACGGGCAGAAAGGTGAGAAAATGTCGGATTTTGATCATTTGTACTGACCTTTCAATTTCAACGTACCTCTCTATAACATGACCCAGCTGTAATTTCAGTGGTCGCATTGGTTTCATTTTTGGTTTGCTTGTAGGGCACTGGCATCCGAATTCAGTGACCCAGAAAATTTGGCACTGCTGTGAATAGTTTAGTCGCAAAGTGAAGATTCACGGGTAAAAAGCCCCAAACTTCTAGATAGGTTCTTTTTCAGCTTTCAGCAGCCCTGGGTGAGTTCTTTAGAGAAATGTGGCTCTTTTTCATGGTGCTATTTTCTATGTCCAGCTTCACAACGAGATGAGGATGGTCATTGTCATTTTCTGAGCTTCGAACGGGCAGAAAGGTGAGAAAATGTCGGATTTTGACCATTTGTGCTGACCTTTCAATTTCAACATACCTCTGTATAACATGACCCAGCTGTAATTCCAGTGGTCGCATTGGTTTCATTTTTGGTTTGTTTGTAGGGCGCTGGCACCCGCCTTCAGTGACCTAGAAAATTTGGCACTGCTGTGAATAGTTTAGTCGCAAAGTGAAGATTCACGGGTAAAAAGCCCCAAACTTCTAGATAAGTTCTTTTTCAGCTTTCAGCAGCCCTGGGCGAGTTCTTTAGAGAAATGTGGGTCTTTTTCTTGGTGTTCTTGTCTATGTCCAGCTACACAACGAGATGAGGATGGTCATTGTCATTTTCTGAGCTGCGAACGGGCAGAAAGGTGAGAAAATGTCGGATTTTGACCATTTGTGCTGACCTTTCAATTTCAACGTACCTCTGTATAACATGACCCAGCTGTAATTTCAGTGGTCGCATTGGTTTCATTTTTGGTTTGTTTGCAGGGCGTTGGCACCCGCATTCAGTGACCCAGAAAATTTGGCACTGCTGTGAATAGGTTAGTCGCAAAGTGAAGATTCACGGGTAAAAAGCCCCAAACTTCTAGATAAGTTCTTTTTCAGCTTTCAGCAGCCCTGGGCGAGTTCTTTAGAGAAATGTGGGTCTTTTTCTTGGTGCTCTTGTCTATGTCCAGCTACACAACGAGATGAGGATGGTCATTGTCATTTTCTGAGCTGCGAACGGGCAGAAAGGTGAGAAAATGTCGGATTTTGACCATTTGTACTGACCTTTCAATTTCAACGTACCTCTCCATAACATGACCCAGCTGTAATTTCAGTGGTCGCATTGGTTTCATTTTTGGTTTGCTTGTAGGGCACTGGCACCCGCATTCAGTGACCCAGAAAATTTGGCACTGCTGTGAATAGTTTAGTCGCAAAGTGAAGATTCACGGGTAAAAAGCCCCAAACTTCTAGATAGGTTCTTTTTCAGCTTTCAGCAGCCCTGGGTGAGTTCTTTAGAGAAATGTGGCTCTTTTTCATGGTGCTATTTTCTATGTCCAGCTACACAACGAGATGAGGATGGTCATTGTCATTTTCTGAGCTGCGAACGGGCAGAAAGGTGAGAAAATGTCGGATTTTGACCATTTGTGCTGACCTTTCAATTTCAACGTACCTCTCTATAACATGACCCAGCTGTAATGTCAGTGGTCGCATTGGTTTGATTTTTGGTTTGCTTGTAGGGCGCTGGCACCCACAATCAGTGACCCTAAAAATTTGGCACTGCTGTGAATAGTTTAGTCGCAAAGTGAAGATTCACGGGTAAAAAGCCCCAACCTTCTAGATAGGTTCTTTTTCAGCTTTCAGCAACCCTGGGCGAGTTCTTTAGAGAAATGTGGGTCTTTTTCTTGGTGCTCTTGTCTATGTCCAGCTACACAACGAGATGAGGATGGTCATTGCCATTTTCTGAGCTGCGAACGGGCAGAGAGGTGAGAAAATGTCGGATTTTGACCATTTGTGCTGACCTTTCAATTTCAACGTACCTCTCTATAACATGACCCAGCTGTAATTTCAGTGGTCGCATTGGTTTCATTTTTGGTTTGCTTGTAGGGCGCTGGCACCCGCATTCAGTGACCCATAATATTGGCACTGGGGTGAATAGTTTAGTCGCAAAGTGAAGATTCACGGGTAAAAAGCCCCAAACTTCTAGATAGGTTCTTTTTCAGCTTTCAGCAGCCCTGGGCGAGTTCTTTGGAGAAATGTGGGTCTTTTTCTTGGTGCTCTTGTCTATGTCCAGCTACACAACGAGATGAGGATGGTCATTGTCATTCTCTGAGCTGCGAACGGGCAGAAAGGTGAGAAAATGTCGGATTTTGATCATTTGTACTGACCTTTCAATTTCAACGTACCTCTCTATAACATGACCAGGCTGTAATTTCAGTGGTCGCATTGGTTTCATTTTTGGTTTGCTTGTAGGGCGCTGGCATCCGAATTCAGTGACCCAGAAAATTTGGCACTGCTGTGAATAGTTTACTCGCAAAGTGAAGATTCATGGGTAAAAAGCCCCAAACTTCTAGATAGGTTCTTTTTCAGCTTTCAGCAGCCCTGGGCGAGTTCTTTAGAGAAATGTGGGTCTTTTTCTTGGTGCTCTTGTCTATTTCCAGCTACACAACGAGATGAGGATGGTCATTGTTTATTTTCTGAGCTGCGAACGGGCAGAAAGGTGAGAAAATGTCGGATTTTGACCATTTGTGCTGACCTTTCAATTTCAACGTACCTCTCTATAACATGACCCAGCTGTAATTTCAGTGGTCGCATTGGTTTCATTTTTGGTTTGCTTGTAGTGCACTGGCACCCGCATTCAGTGATCTAGAAAATTTGGCACTGCTGTGAATAGTTTAGTTGCAAAGTGAAGATTCACGGGTAAAAAGCCCCAAACTTCTAGATAGGTTCTTTTTCAGCTTTCAGCAGCCCTGGGTGAGTTCTTTAGAGAAATGTGGCTCTTTTGATGGTGCTATTTTCTATGTCCAGCTACACAACGAGATGAGGATGGTCATTGTCATTTTCTGAGCTGCGAACGGGCAGAAAGGTGAGAAAATGTCGGATTTTGACCATTTGTGCTGACCTTTCAATTTCAACGTACCTCTGTATAACATGACCCAGCTGTAATTTCAGTCGTCGCATTGGTTTCATTTTTGGTTTGCTTGTAGGGCGCTGGCACCCGCATTCAGTGACCCAGAAAGTTTGGCACTGCTGTGAATAGTTTAGTCGCAAAGTGAAGATTCACGGGTAAAAAGCCCCAAACTTCTAGATAGGTTCTTTTTCAGCTTTCAGCAGCCCTGGGTGAGTTCTTTAGAGAAATGTGGCTCTTTTTCATGGTGCTATTTTCTATGTCCAGCTACACAACGAGATGAGGATGGTCATTGTCATTTTCTGAGCTGCGAACGGGCAGAAAGTGAGAAAATGTCGGATTTTGACCATTTGTGCTGACCTTTCAATTTCAACGTACCTCTGTATAACATGACCCAGCTGCAATTTCAGTGGTCGCATTGGTTTCATTTTTGGTTTGCTTGTAGGGCGCTGGCACCCGCATTCAGTGACCTAGAAAATTTGGCACTGCTGTGAATAGTTAAGTCGCAAAGTGAAGATTCACGGGTAAAAAGCCCCAAACTTCTAGATAGGTTCTTTTTCAGCTTTCAGCAACCCTGGGCGAGTTCTTTAGAGAAATGTGGGTCTTTTTCTTTGGTGCTCTTGTCTATTTCCAGCAACACAACGAGATGATGATGGTCATTGTCATTTTCTGAGCTGCGAACGGGCAGAAAAGTGAGAAAATGTCGGATTTTGACCATTTGTGCTGACCTTTCAATTTCAACGTACCTCTCTATAACATGACCCAGCTGTAATTTCAGTGGTCGCGTTGGTTTCATTTTTGGTTTACTTGTAGGCCGCTGGCACCCGCATTCAGTGACCCAGAAAATTTGGCACTGCTGTGAATAGTTTGGTCGCAAAGTGAAGATTCACGGGTAAAAAGCCCCAAACTTCTAGATAGGTTCTTTTTCAGCTTTCAGCAGCCCTGGGCGAGTTCTTTAGAGAAATGTGGGTTTTTTTCTTGGTGCTCTTGTCTATTTCCAGCTACACAACGAGATGAGGATGGTCATTGTCATTTTCTGAGCTGCGAACGGGCAGAAAAGTGAGAAAATGTCGGATTTTGACCATTTGTGCTGACCTTTCAATTTCAACGTACCTCTCTATAACATGACCCAGCTGTAATTTCAGTGGTCGCATTGGTTTCATTTTTCTTTTGCTTGTAGGCCGCTGGCACCCGCATTCAGTGACGTAGAAAATTTGGCACTGCTGTGAATAGTTTAGTCGCAAAGTTAAGATTCACGGGTAAAAAGCCCCAAACTTCTAGATA